TACAATAAAATACCAATGGAAATTGTTTCATTTCTTTAATAGTACTATTTCGTAATACTTATTAATCTTACTTTACAGCAGACTCCAACTGATTTATATTCTCCTCAGTTTTGCTATTATGATGTATTTGTTCCCTGTTTTGGTATCTGTTGCTGAATGCTGACCTTAGAGTAGCCACAGTTTGATGTACTTTGTTGAATTAAAGTGGATGAGTGGAGTGTTAAACATTCTGATAAATGTTCAGTTGGATGCTTTAGATGTCATAGGTGAAGACCTGGTATGCGTAATTATGAAATTCATTTGGGAGAATTTTTTTTCTCACTCACTTGTGGAAATAGACACTGAGGTCAACATATATTGAAAGGGAAGCAGTTAATTCTTTTCTTGCAGATATTTACAAAATCCTCAAAGTATTTGTCTGTCATTCAACCAAAATTTTGTGTAAAAATTTTTGATTTCAATATCACTAAGTTATATATTGTTGAACATTGTCTGACTATTATTGAGGGTCTAAGACCTTGGTCCATTGTGGTAAGTCTGCATCATTACGTGGTAACCTTTTTTCTATAGGAATCTCGTTGGATGCATATTAAGAATACTTGAAGTGACCCATCATATAGTTAAAATTCTTCTAGTTTTAACAGTTGAACTTCAAGAACCTTGTGCAGACTTGAAGTTCCCTTGAGTTTTTTGGTGATACATGGTACAATACATAGATTATCCATAAAAGATATAAATCTACTTATTCCTGAAACAACTTTTACAGTGTTTCAATGGAAAGCTCTATGGCTGGTACAGTGCCATATAAGAAATGACAGGAACATATCTTGAAACAATGCTTGTGTGCCACTCTGCTTAGCAGACGTAATTACTGCACTATCGCAAGCTACAGTTACTAAATTTTCATGTAAATATTCTTCTGCAAGTCCTAGTTATTTGAGGTTATCAATCAGTGGTTTAGATATGCCTTTTGCAAAAATATCTCTTAGGTCTGATACAGTATATAATCTCCTCTCACATAAATTGCTATTCTTCTTTAGTGCTGCTCTCTATATGCAAAAAAAAAAATTATGCATGTTACAAGCCTTTTATCTCCCCTCAATCATGTGAGAACCCTCCACCAATAAGAGTGGGACATACTCTCATGATGCATGTGACTCCCTTTTTCAATTCTACCAAACTATCACTTCTCGCTTAGCAGTACTCGTGTTCAGACATTTTTTCTCCATGTGCTCCTTGTTTCACTTTTTCCTTAAGACTTATTTCCTTCTACTCTTAGCATGTGGATGTCAAAGGTCTGATTTATTTGCAATCGATGTTTCACATACTCTTTATCATTCTACATATCATCTCCATTATCCAGATATTTCTTGCCTCCCCAATACTTTGGTGGTGCGTAAGGGTAACTCCTTCTTTTTTTCCAATTTCCCTTTTTTCTATTTCCCACATTTATCCTCGGCCTGATCTGGAAAGTCTTCTATGTACTGTATATGCTCTACACTGTTATATTACCCGCACGGCTTTCTTCTGTGGTGCCTATTCCTGCCTCTTTATCCCTTGGCAGCCGTCCTCTATTCATGATCTTTCTCCTTACAATCTCATCAATTTGGTTTGGTTTTTAATTCGATTTGCTGATTTCTATTTATCATTTTCCCCCAATCTTTGTTCCAAGTGTCTTCTCATCAAATTCAACACCTTACCTTTTCAAATTCGATCGCCGTGATGATGACAAAACCTTGTCGAAACGTTGTACATTTGCTGTTATATTAAAGTTTTTCTTCATTACCCATTCAAGCCGTCTCCAGCCATTATTACCTTACCTTTTCATTGGCATCTCATCCTTGTTGTCCCTTGGAGGAAATTCTTCAATCAGGCATGTGGACTACCCCTAATACATTCTTCTCTCACTATTTGCATAGGATCTTGGTTTCTTCCTCTTCAGGGTATCCTCTTCTGTCTGTACCCATTCTTCAGACTTCAGTGAGACTTTGACTGGGTATGTTATTTTTATTATTCTTTATTTCTTTTCAGGGGCCTTTTTCCCTATTTTATTATTGCAATTGTTTGGATCCTGTTCTGTGGTGAGTGGTGCCTGACCAGGTATTTTTTAACCAATCAAATGTGCACTGTAAGGCCATGTCAACTTACATATTATATTTCCATGGCCATACAATGCAAAATGGAGAGATGGGGTGTTCCACAAGATCAGTTGTAGGGGTATCCTCACTATGGAATTCCTTAATAAATTTGCCTGTCCCAGACCATACTCACATGGACTACATTGGTAAAGCAGAAGAGCATAGTTGCCCATTCCTGCTATACTTTGTATTGAATAAATCGGTATGATCTGCTTTTAAAAATAGGGTTTCATGGTCACTCATTGCACTGTCTTGGGTGTTGTCATTCCTCCAGATTCTCCACCACCTTTTTCTCCCCCTTTACTTCTAGTAGAGTTTGAGAGTCCTTAACACTTTCAAGTTCAAAGCCACTGGGGTGACTGACTGTGGAGACATCCTCCTAAATGGATTAATGAAATACAAACATAATATAGAAAATATTATAAAACCATTCAATTGAGAGTAGGACAGTGGTGTTCTGCTGGAGTAGATGACGTGATATCCTTCAATATGAAACAAAAATGAATGGGAGTGAACGGTCAAAATTGTAGTTCATACCATCAGTTGGGATCCATCATCCTACCTCTATGTTGATGTTGGTTCCCAGTGGCTGGGTTTTGCATTTAAAGTTGAACCACTCAACGTAAGTCATGTATTACATGTATTCCCCTCGATGCTTATTATTCTGAATTTCAATTTTGAGGGAGATGGTTTACATTATGCAGACATCCTTGATCTATCAATTTTTTATATTAACATGTACCCTGTTCATGGGTTGGGGGGTTCTTGATTCCTTCCAGTTTCATGAACTTGAGGTGAAGATGGTATGATCCTCTTTCCTACCCCCACATGGATGTTGGTTCCTGGTGGCCTGGGTTTTCGACTGTAGTCCACTAGTCAGTGGTATGATCCTCATCCTACCCCTTCATGGATGTCAGTTGCTGGTGGCATGAGTTTTGGATGTAGTTGACTTGGTGTGTATGTTCCATCATGCCCTAGTTGCTCTACACCTAGGACACATCCTTTTCATTTTGCCCACTTTTTATATTTTCTGGGATAGAGTTTTTATAAATATTATATGGTTCAGATCACTATCCAACCTTAGTTCTCTCCAACTTGGAAGTGCTTCTCTGTTTTTTCACCCATATGTATGATATCTTTCTATGATGAGCGAAGAGTATACCAGGTTCAGAAGTGGTGCAGTCTCCACATCAGATCTCATAATCTGACTAACTTTTCTTAGGGAGTGTTCTTCGGATGCTTCTTTCTTTCCCTTGCACAGGTCCCTCTCCCTATTCAGTGTGGGATTCTAGTTATTTATGTGAGAAGAGGTAATGTATCGTATCAGAAAATTATAATTTTCCTATACTGAAAATGTATTTCCAATATGTACTTACGTCCTCTCACACTACCCAACTGAAAACCGGTGCTTCCATCTTTTTCCAAAACTTGAAGGGATAGTTTGGTAGAATTGAATAGAGAGAATCACATGTGTCTTGAGAGTATGTCGCACTCTTATTGGTGGACGGTCGTCGCACAATGATATGCATGACAGATGCATTGGAATCTGTCAATTCCAATTGAGGGAGATAAAAGGCTTGTGGCATGCTTAGAGAAAATTGCACATAGAGGGCAGCACTGAATGAGAATAGCTATTTATGTGACAGGAGGCGAGTACCTATTGGAAATACATTTTGAGTATAGGAAAATTATAACTTCAATCAGTCAATAAACAGGTTCACTGAATTTGTCATTTCAGTACCTGAGAGAAAAACATGAATGTAAAGAATTAAAGTGAACACTTATTAGAGTGTGGCTTTCATCAAATAGCAAAGAAAGTTTAGACTTAGATTTTTTTTATTCTGTAATATTTTTAATGAGGGCTTTTCTCATCTCTTTCCTTGTATGATTCACAATACTGATACATGCAGGAAGTATGCATCTCATACCAATGTCATTTAGTTCTTGTAAATCAATCTCAAAATCATTGAATGATTGATTTTTTGACACTACTTTGAAAGTTGTTTGAAATATTTTGGCAGTTATTTGTCTATCATAAGTCACAGTTTTTGTGCTTGTGAAGCCAGTTTCAAAACAGTTTTATGGGTCAAACTTCCTTTATCTTCAGTTATTTTCTTATGTAAAGATGTTAATTGCTGTTTTCTTCTATCTCCATAGTGAGTAATTTCAATATTAGCCCATTCATTTGAGATTTTCAGCTCCAAGCATTTCAACATTTTTGCATACTGCACAGCCAATGTTTCTTTCTTTTGCTATCAGTTTATGATATACAAACAAAATTAATTTTTCTTGGTCAGATTTGAACAATCGGGCAATTCACAATGTCTCATTGCATTACTGTCATTATCTTCTACAGATGACATGGGTAACCTCTGAATCACGTTTTGCAGTCTTTTCATTCTTTATCACATTATTTAATGTCTAAGTTGATGTTTTCTGATACTCTTCCTCACTATCTCTAACTGAAATAAGTTCATAAGTTTATTTCCTTAGTATAACTTTCTAAACTATGCCATAAAACTAATTCTAGCACGTTACTGCAAGGACTTGTGCTTTAAGAATACAATGAACTAAGTTTTTAACTTACCATATATATGCTTGATTAATCTGTTTGATTTAATATAGTTTTTAACATGATTTCCTTTGCCTTCTGAACTTAATCCAAACAGTCCTTAGAAAAGTCATTTACTGATTTATAACTTCCTCAAAAAATATTTACCAATCTTCTTAAGAGGATCTCCTTTCATGCAAACATTTTTTATCTAGTATTAATTCTATTTATTTATTAGCACATTAAAAATTTATAGAATTAGTCATTTAGAAGAAAGGCAATCATGGTTTGTTTGATTTTATGTTTCATAGGTAACCAAGAAACATTTAAGTCAATGTCTGAAAGGTTTACAATATCTAAATCAACTGCTCATGCAATTTGCAGACGGGTCAATGAGGCCATTCAGAAAACTCTAATGCCTGAATTGATAACATGGCCGAGAGAAGATGGTATCCAGGATATTAAAAATGGTTTTTCCCAGCTAAGTCGGCTGCCAAATATTATAGGAGCACTAGATGGAATACACATACCCATCAGAGCACCAAAAGCAAACAAAGAGTCATATTTTAACAAGAAGAGGTTCCATTCCATCGTTCTTCAGGGTGTCTGTGACAGTAGGTTACTTTTTACACATATTTATACTGGTTGTCCAGGAAGCACCCAAGATGCCGATGTCTTCACAAGCTCTGTTCTCTATCTGGAACAACAAGAGTACTTCCCAGAAGATTCTTTTATTGTTGCTGACTCTGCATATCCACTGTTACCCTGGGTTATTACACCCTATAGAGATTATGGCATCCTAACTCAGGAGCAAAAAGTTTTCAACAAAGAACTTAACAAAGCAAGAATTGCAATTGATCATGCTTTTGGTCAGTTAAAAAGTCGATTTCGTCGCCTGACTAAGCTAGAAGGTTTAGACATGCAGCTCTTAGTTGGAACAATCGTATCAGGATGTGTTCTTCACAACCTGTGTGTGATGGCAGATGATGAAATGTATGATGAAACTGATGTAGTAGAAGTAAATGAGATAAATGAATGTATATATGCTGATGATGAAAGTGGTATTGAAGTCCGAGATTACTTACTACACTTAGTTAATGACTAACTTAAGAGTTGGTTTCATTTGCATATACTGAATAGCAGTTTTGGACCATTTTAATTTAGGAATGTTGTACTTCATGAAATTATCTAAAGTGTTTAAATTTTTACGTGACCAAAACATTCATCTCAGCACAAAGAGAAAACATTAAATTACACTTATAGTACTCATGTATATTAAAAACCAAAAATTGAAAGGTGTTTAGAAAATTTTTTTTGTACAAAATAATGTTATGTAAATCTGAAATAGAAATGAACAGAAAATGTAGCACTAGCATTAGCCACTGAACTCTACATCTAATCCAGAACATAGTTTGTTGCCAGTTATCCATATCAAAACCTTATCAGTTAATGTTTTTTTTATGTGATCATTTGGTTCTAATATAACATGATTTGAATTTGGTAATATACGTTGAATAATTTGATTGAACTTTTTAATGTTTTTGAATCATATTCATTTGTTTGTATATATTATCAAAAGCTATATTAATTTGTTATTTCAGGTTTTGTTTCAAATTAGTAAGACAGATCTACAAGTGAAAGTATTTCTTCAAATATTGTGATTGTTGTTAAACATAATTTTACTTCAGTTTTGTTAGTTTTTATTTTGTGAAAAATGCCATTTGTAATGATAATTTGACATATTTGTAGAAATTTGGTCCTTTTTTTTGATGTACATGTAATTACATTGCAACTATGTAATTGTTATGCCAAAGTTCTATATTACCCAAGTTTAATATACTAGAGGTTTTTCTAAAAGGAATATTTCAGTGGTAATTATACAGGATATAATGTGCATTTGAAAATACATGTGGAATTATGAATTTCATAATCTGACCATAATTTCTTTATACATATATAAGCAAGAGCAGGTTAATTATGTGTAGCTAAAAAAGCCTTAATTTAGGTGGATATGAATAAAGATTGAATATGGACAGTGGAGAAAAACTGTCCAAGTGTAATGTTAAGCATACCATCCTTTATTAAACAAACAGTGTTATTTCACCTAAATTATCTGGCTACTGGGGATAAGGGCTACAAAATGAGATGACAACCATGAGAAAAATCATGAGAGAAAGAGAGTTATAGAATTATCTGATTTAAGTATTTGAATGAAAAATGAAAGTCAGTTGTCCCAAAAGTCCACAAATTACATACTTCAATTTGTAATCTACATGCAATCTTAAGCCAAACAAGCTGTACAGATTTCTGTAAATATAACTTTTTTAATAGGATACCTCCCAAGTCCATACAGAAATATATATACTAGACTCAAGGAAACAAGTTGAGGGATTTAGATTACCTGTAAAACTGGACTATACATGTTTATTACATTGTGACATCCTGTCTATGAGAATGCTATAACTATTATTAATAAGAACTCCTGGGTGAAAGTAAAGAAGGAGGTATAGTAACATATCAACCACATTGCATCTGCTGCATCCAGTGCTAGTGAGGCTACATGTAGAAACTGCATGGATATTTAGAAAATATTACTCAAATATATCTAACTAAAGATATGAAATGGTGAAATTCATGACTATTTCCATGATTACAAACCCCCATTATTTATCTTTGGGGCAGTGTAGTCCTGAACATTAAAATTAGTATTAATGACCAAATCAGAAAACTTAATTGCAGATTACAAAATGTGGTTTCCATTTCCTTCAGGTTACAATCATAATGTCACAACACCTACATGAACACAATAACGTAATGTAATATTTAGGGACAACAAGGGACCTATGCTGTCCCATTTACTAAACTAAAACTGTTTTTAAAAAATCCTCATTTTAGCCCTTATCATTCATATACTTATCAAGCTTTTTCTTAAACTCACTTAAATTTACTGCTATCACTACATCCAAAGATAACACATTCCAAAAGCCAAGGACAGTTAGAAAAATAAAACTGTCTTAGCTGAAGAAGATTCCTACCCTGCCAAAATTTATATTTGTGCCATTAAGTATGAAAAAAGATAATGCATCAACACTTTCAGTTCCCTTAATTTTAAACACCTCAATAAGATCCCCTCTGATACTTTTTTTTTCAAGAAAAAACAATTTCAGAGGTATTAACCTCTCCTCATATGACAAACTTTCAATCCCAGGTATAATTCTAGTAGCCCCAGGACTGAACCCTTTCCAACAATTCAATGTCCTTCCTCAGGTAAGGAGTCCAAGGCTGAACACAAATACTCCAAATATGGCCTAACCAGTGAGGTATACAATTAAATTATTACCTCTTTAGACTTGTATTTAATATTTGTATTAATACAACCTGAAATCCTATTTGCACTACCACTAACATCAGTACCCTCCTTAGATAGTTTGAGACTGATCAACCACTACACCAAGGACCTTTTCTTCCATAATACTGTTAAGGTTATTCCCATCCAAATTATACTTATAATTCAAATTATTTTGCATTCATTATAATTAAAACCCATCTTCCATTTAATCAATGAACTCATTAAGTAGAAAGGTAACACATTAAACTCCAACAGCCAAACACAGAAACTAAACTAAAATGCAACTTCAATAAAAATTTAAAATAAATAAAAATACAATAAACATACAAATCAAACTACAATAAATCTTAATAATAATACAATTATGGAATTTATGAATGATTGTGCATTATGTATGCATGAAATTTTATTAAATTAGAGAAAGATAACAGCAGTGCATTTCTAAAATTCAGATGTAGGAAAATCTACTGAATTGATTCAGACTACCAAGTATTATCTAAGTTAATACAAGATGAAAAACATTCCACTACTTGTAACAGGACTTACTGGACTGGTTCAGACTACCAAGTGTTATCTAAGTAATTGAAAGTGAAAAATGTAACAGACCTATAGGACTGATTCATATTACCAAGTTATTTAAATAATACAAGGTGAAATGTTCCATTACTTGTCACAAGATGTATTGGACTGGTTTAGATTAGCAAATGTTATCTAAATAATGCAAGGTGTTCTTAAAGAAAGACTTGGATATATAAAACTATAAATTCACAGGCCATAGGAGTTTGCAAGAAGAGAAAATTAGCAAAGAGAGATTATTTGAACCCATTGTTAGGACATCTCCCCCTCCCTCCTAATTGAGTATTTAATAGTTTTGTCACTGCAGAAATAGCCAGTGGAAATTATTACTTTTTTTCCTTAATAATTATTTCCTATCGTATTTCAAACTTTGTCAGGTACAGCTATAGTAATTATAACATTTATATTGCAGAACATGTTAACATTTTTGATAATGACTAATCCAAAATAGTAGATTATTATACTGAAAGTTCTTTTTCTCATCTAAAAAACACTGAAAATATGGTTATAGCATTACACAACTAACTTTTATAACATTAATACATATACCAACTGAACTTACTTTTCAAGGTTAAGTTGCATAACTTACAAATTTCCAAGTTGCCAAAATTGCAAGATGTTCTTTCACCAACAACACAGAGACAACTAGGTCTACCATTTTTTTGGTTGATCTGATGCAGGTTTTGTACAAACTTTGTGTCTTTCTTTCAGTAAATAACACATGCTCTCAAATGTTTCAGTTCCAAAATACAGTAGTAGGCTTTTAAGTGTATGTAGATTTTTGGAATTTTTCTAATATTGTTTGTCTTACAGAGATACTGGATTATATAATCAAATGAAAGTTTGTTAGATGTTTCTGTACAGATATATTTGCAACCCTGTGTTTACATGTAAGGTCAAATTGTTCATGCCACAACCTTAAACAGATTGCCATGCAACATGGTATTATATTTTATATCAGAGTTATCAACTGTTCATTTTATTGCTTATTTCATAACAGTTTGTGCTAGAGGAGATTACATACTAGATACTCTATACAGGGATATTGAAAAAAACAATTTAGGTATTTTTGAGATTCTAGAGATTATGCAAATACAGTGTACATTGTACAAAAGTTTTTTTATTCACATAATATCAGCTTTTGCTCCGAATCATTGAAATCTGTCAGATTGATGTCAACAATTCACATACATATCTTGAGTACAAATAATTTTGTAATGCAGATGATTTTTTTGTGTACAACAGATTTGTACATTTTATTAAAAGCCTGCCATACTTCATGCAAATACATCTAGTAAATTCATAATTATATAACATTTCTCTAATATGGGATCGGTTTATTAAACTGACCATTTGCACATTTGATAAACTAATTTTTCTAACTATATATTATGCAGGCTCTGTTTAAAGACATTTTAGCTGAAGAATCCTCATTCATCTTCAGCGTGTTCATAAGGATGTTTAAAAATGAATACCCATTTTTCAATATCACCCTTTTAATGGTTATGTAGTAAATAAATGGAAATATTCCTGTATTATATTTAGATTAAAAAAACTAAGGGAATGTACAGGGATAGAAATAGTGAAATAAAACTACATTCACTTGAGTTAAAGTTATTGAGAAAATTACATTCCCTTATGTAAAGTAGCATTTTCTCATGAATTGTTTTTTATTTAATCCATATAATATGTTCATTTTCATTAGTCATAACAAATGGAATATAGATGGACCATGCATGTAAAGTTGCATTTCCTCATGAATTGTTTTTTATTTAATCCATGCAATATGTTCATTTTCATTAGTCATAACAAAAGGAATATGGATGGACCATGCATGTAAAGTTGCATTTCCTCATGAATTGTTTTTTTCACTTAATTCATGCAATTTAATTCACTTTCATTGGTCATAACTAAAGGAATATGGTTGGACTATGAATTCCTGATTGGAAAAGCCAACCAAAAAGATGAAATTCCCCAAGCAAAGTTAAATTATTTGGGAATGTAATATTTCAACCCCCTGATGTGGTACTTATTTCACTTTTACTTTGGTCTAAGTATGAAAGTTGCTTTATTAGTTTAGTGGTGAAATTTCTGAAAACACTTGTTCAGGTTTAAATTTTTTTATTAGATTCTAGAAGTGTCCTGTGTTCTCAGTGTACATTTAAAGTACCAGAATAAGTGCTCAGTTTACAGAGGTTGGGTGATATATGAGGAGCTGTTTTATATAGACATGTAAATTGAAGTGTGTTATTTTTCAAATGATGTATGAAGGCTTCCATAAATTATTGAAATTGGTAATTTCATTTAACAGTTCCTAGTCTGGATATGTAAGGGAATTTTTGCGAAAATTCTAAGAACCTGTTGTATTCCTTAGCTTATTAAGGTAATTTCATGTACTTATTGGTTGCCTAGGCATTATTTAGTTTAGATTGCAACATTGTGTACCATTGGCAGATTGCACCATATAGCAAAGACTACACCACAATTAGATGTCGGTAAATTTGTGCATGTGTTCGTGACTCTCCACTCAGGCCAATGATGTATTGACTTTGCACAAGCATTTCAGAGGTACTTCTCCAAACTACTCTGATTATATATATAATGCTTAGTGTGTGAAATGGCGGTTGTAGTGACTACTTTATTTAACAGGGATATTTTGGAAGTGTGGTCTTGATGTTATAATAGAAAAGTTGAAACCACTTCTATTGGTGATGTACCTGGAGACTGTGTGGGAAACTTAAATTATAGTCTTTAGGGATTATATAAAGGTATAGTGCCATAAGTCAAATAAATATACCCCCAAAACAAAGAGCTACAAGTTTGCTTTATGTATCATTCATACTTCTTTATTTAATCTGTAATGTTTGTGATTAAAGCTATAAATAGAACTAAGCACTGTAAAAACATCTCAAAGTAAACAAATTGATGCTCTGGAAACATGGTTGCAAGATTACTCCTAATTTTTGCTTTAATTGGCAAAAAAGTTCATAACTAGTAGTGTTTACACCAGGTAGAAATTTCTGACCCAGGTATCTGAGGATCTTATACCTGTTGGGTACTCGTCAGTATACTTACTGTTAAAGGTATATGGAAATTGAAAACTTGTTAGCCTTGGGTTAGGCTGCCAATATTTGCAGTTTGTAAATTTGGTTGAATTTGGAAAGCTAAAGTTACAGGGAATAAGATTAAATGATAGTATAAAAACATTACAAGAAAGTTTAAAACTAAAGGAAAAAGTTCTATGAATATTCGTGAAACTGAAGTGAAGCATTCTTATTTATAGTATAGGCCTAGCCTAACTCATGGTAAGTTAGTTAAACTAGGCCTACTGCTTGCTGTACTGTCTGCCATGCTCATTTTCTTTTGTATTGTTTCTGAGTAAACTGTATTTTGCATGCATTTTTTAATTTTTCATCCTAGACACAACAAGGGTTTGCGATTTACAAAGCAGTTTTAACTTGCAAACCTTGGGTAAATGTACTTACTGCTGCTTATGTTAGTTACGTACCACAAATGTCTGTGGCTTAATGCACATTCAAAATACAGGTATTGTAGGCCTGGATAAGTAAATAGTGTCAGACTTTTCATTCTGTTGTTACTTTGTTCTGATTTCTCAGAGATTTGCAGTGAATTATTGGGTTTTTAGCTTGTAGTCATAAAGGAAAACAATTGCGTCAGTCAGTTTGTTTTTGGAAATTTTTGTGTGAAAACTGAGGTAGCCTCACCCCGACTTGAGAATCTTGCTGCAAAGTGAACTTGTTGAAATGAAAACAGTAATGCCAAACACAGTACACAGGTCAAGACAATGAAGTTTTTTTCTGGAAGTTCATTGGAAAGTTGATGTAGCCCTGCCCCTATCTGGATTTTCTTGTTATGTCAAGTCAAACCAGGGACATGTTAGAGTTCCCACACTGTGTGTTGTTTCCTTAGTATCCTAGTAGGCTGTACTCCGTACGTGGTCACATTGTATGCGGAATGAAGTGACAGATGATGTGCAATATATATGAACTTTTGGACAATAAGAATTAAGAAATAGAGGCATTGAAGAAATGTTTTAAATTGAATAAAATGTGTTTACTGTCTTGGGCAAACTATTTGCTGAGGAAAACTATTAAACCTACAGCCTTTAGGGATACTGAG